AAAAATAAAACAGAACAAAAATGCAGTGCCATTTCATACCAGACTGGCAAAAATCAGAGTCTGACAACATTAACTGCTGGCAAGGATATGGAGAAACAGGAATTGTTTGCCAATATCCTATACATATCATGTAAAGGGAAACATAGGACCCAGTAATGTGACAACCAACCAGGTATATGACCTGGAGAAACTAGCGTGTTTCCTCAGGAAAGACAAGGATGTGCATGAGGCAATGTTTATGATAGAAAAAAAAAAATGAAGACAATTTAATGCTCATCAATAGGAGAAATGGCAAATTTTAGTACATCCATTCAAAGGAACACTCTACAGCAATGAAAATGAATGAACAAGACCTATAAGATCAACAAGGATTGGGGCAGGAGAGTAAAATGAAAAAACCATGGCTGGGTACAGTGGCTCATGCCTGTAATTCCAGCACTTTGGGAGGCGGAGGTGAGAAGACAGTCTGAGCCCAGGGGTTTGAGACCAGCCTGGGCAACATGGCGAGACCTCATCTCTACAATGAATCAAAAAAATTTGGCACACCCCTGTATTTCTAGCTACTTGGAAGGCTGAGGCAGAAGGATCACCTGAGCCCAGCAGGTTGAGGCTGTATTGGCCATGAGAGTGCACTCCAGCCTGGGCTACAGAGTGAGACTCCAACTCAAAAAAATAAAAATAAATGAAAAAACCAAGTTTTAAAATATGAATGCTATGATACAATCATATCAACAGCTGTTTAAATTTACTAGCACATAAATTAAGAAAAAGTGCTTGGCACAGCTTTAAGCTGTAAATAAACTCATTTAGACTGGGCTCAGTGGCTCAGCCTATAGTCCCAGGTTCAAGACCAGCCTGGACAACTTGGCAAGACCTCGTCTCCAATAAATCAAAAATTAGCCGGGTGTGGCAGTGCGCACTTGTAGTTCCAGCTACTTGGAAGGGGAAGGAAGAAGGATCGCCGGAGCCCAACCTGGGTGACAGAATGAGACTCCAACTCAAAAAAAAAAAAAAAAACCTCATATAATTTTTACAACAACCCTATGAGGTGGGCTCTTCTATTATCCCTATTTGATAAATGAGGACACTGAGGCATGTAAAGATTAAATAGCTTGCCTAAGGTCACAGCATTACTAAGTAGCAGAGTCAAGATTCAAACTAGGGGAGGATACATCCCAAGTATACATTCTTCAAATGCACCCACATCAATGCCATGTTCATATACATGTTTATTCAAAGATAAAGTGGAGGCCAGGCACGGTGGCTCACACCTGTAATCCCAGCACTTAGGGAACCCAAGGCAAGAGGATTGCTTCGTCCCAGGAGTTTGAGACTGGCTTAAGCAACATAGCAAGACCTTGTCTCTACAAAATAAAAAATAAAAACACTAGCCAGGCATGGTGGTGCCTACAGTTCCAGCCACTTGGGAGACTGAGGCTAAAGGATCACCTGAGCCCAGGAGGCTGAGGATGCAGTGAGCCATGAGCACACCACTGCACCCCAGCCTGGGTAACAGAGTAAGATACAAGGCACTGACTCCAAAAAAAAAAAAAGGATAAACTGGAAGGTTACAAATAAAATGCATCACAACAACTGCCTGTAGGGAGGGAGATGAAGCAGGAGAGGATAAAACTGGGAGAACAAAAGAGACTTTCCACGGTCAGCGACGTTCCTGGGAAGTGTAAAGTTTTACATTGCCCTGCAGGACTCAGTGTGACAACTACGATATACACAGTTCTGTTAGATCAAATAAATGTCTAAAGCAAAAATGAAAACATCAACATTTTCTATGTGGGTGTGTAGGCATATAGTACATTCTTTGCTATTTATTTTTAAAACTTTTCAAAAATAAAAATGTCTCACAAAACATTAAAACAATGAGAAATTAATTTCTCATTTTCATATTACAGCTTTCATTTGAAAACAGAAACAGTTAAACTGTGAGTTTAAATATATACACATGTGGGCACACACTTTAACATACACAGAGAAAACAAATTTTTGCATGGATCAAAAGGGATAGGTTTCAGCAACGTATAACAGAAACAATACCTCTTACTATACATTTTGATGACTCACTATTTTCCATGAAAATAAAGTACAACACTATCAGGAAAACTCCTTTCTACCTCTTTTTTCTTGATAGTCTGTCCTCTCTCCTGCTTCCTACTTATTTGCGATTTTTAACAGCAGGAAGCAAGAAGGAACCCAGAAAGTGTCACACATTTTTAAAATACAGCCATAGATGAACATATACGCAGCCCTTCTGAACATGAGACTTCCTAACCCACAATCAGAGTACTGTAAACTGGCTGCATGGAACTCACAACATGTTTTTCCACTGAGAAAGCTACAGAAGGACAAGAGCCCCTGGGAAAAAAACACTGCCTGAGGGGCCAGACCATTAGCGGTGGAACAGGAAGTACTGAGCAACAATACATACTGATGCTCCAAAAGGGAAAAACCATTCTCAGCCAGAGTCTTGAGGGCAGAAATCAGCTTCATGTACCTCTGTATTCTCGGTAGTGAGCAAGTGTTTGGCATCTACCACGGTCAAAGCCATGGCCTGCTGACTGGGGAGGAGACCCTGTAGGGCCGTCCGGTAGAAGGTGGCACTGTCAGCACAGGGCAGCCCTTGGGGTGGGAGGGGACAGGAGAGAGACCAGAGAGCAGTATCCACGAGCTAAGACCAGGGCAGGGCTGGGGCTGAACAGAAAGGACACTTTCTCCCAACAGCCAGCTACTTCCACACTTGTGGACTGCAAACAAGTACCATATGTTGGGTTGCTGCTGGAGCAGTGGTTATGTGGGATTTCTCCTATGATCCTTAAAAATAACTTAATGTCACCCAGGCGCGGTGGCTCAGGTGTGTAATCCCAGCACTTTGGGAAGCCAAGGTGAGATTGCCTGAGCCCATGGGTTCAAGAACAGCCTGCGCAACTTGGCGAGACCTCATCTTTACAATAAATCAAAAAAATTAGTCGGGCGTGGTAGCATGTGCCTGTAGTTCTGGTTACCTGTAAAGCTGAGGTAGAAAGACCACCTGAACCGAGCAGGTCGACACTGGGGTGGCCGTGAGTGTGTCACTGAACTCCAGCCTGGGCGACAGAGTGAGACTCCAACTCAAAAATACTTTTTTAATTTTAAAAAAACTTAATGTCATTTTTGTGACAATAAGAGTAAGAACTGTTCATAAGGGGGAACAGAGAAGAGTATAAAACCTAAAATAAAACTTATCCATGATCCTATCATCCAGAGATAACACCTGTTGATAGTATATGTATTTCCTGCCAATCTTTTTGCCATTTACATTTGTGATGTTATATCACAGTATATATTTTTTATATTCTGATTTTTCTCTCAACATTAGATTGTATTTTCTTTTTCTTTCTTTCTTACATTGTACTTTCTCACATTAGCAATTTTTAAAAATGATTTTTTTAACAGCTGTATCCACCACATAGATTATCATCAATTTCACCATTCCCTTATGATCAGGCATCTTGACTGTTAAACATTTTTCACTATTAAAATAACATGCTGCTGGGCTCGGTGGCTCAGCCTGTAATCCCACGCCTTTGGGAGACTGAAGTGAGTGGATTGCCTGAGCCCGCGGGTCAGAGACCCGCCTGGGCAGCGAGACCTCATCTCTACAATAAATAAAAAAATCAGCCGGGCGTGGTAGCGCATGCCTGTAATTCTGGCTACTGGGAAGGCTGAGGCGAAGGATCGCCGGAGCCCAGCAGGTCAAGACTGCGGTGGCCGGGAGCGGCCACTGCACTCCAGTCTGGGCGACAGAGTGAGACTCCAACTCAAAACAAAAACAAAAACAAAAAAAATGCTATATAAATTAATCATTTCTTCAATGTAAACTTCTACACTGCTCTTTTAGAATTCAAAGTGATAACTATGATACACAATAATGATGTGGGGTGCTTGACCCACCCCACCCCTCCACCCCTGCCATCTTCCCACAAATTCTGCTAACACTAAACAATCTAAGACATTTTAAAAAAAATAAGAAAGGAAGAAAAAGTTATCAATTTTTTTTCAGTCACTCTCTTATTCTACCTCTTTCACTCTCTTATTCTACTTCTGGTAGGAAAAGGAAAGTCCCACAAAGATAAGTCTCTGACATCAGAGAAGCCAAGAACAGCAAGTCAATATTCCTGCTAGAGCCATTTTTATTTTCCACTTAGAACAATGTGCCATCAATTTAAACATGAATCACACAAGATCTACCATATACCAAACATCTCCATCTGCATTAGTGCTTAAGCCAGGTTTTCACAGTATATAGACGGCTTAGAAAAATTCTGCAAACAATAAAAGTTAATGTAACTAGTATCCCTCAATGAGGAAACCAAGTTTTATTTTACAACTCTGCCATATTATTTAAATGAATTAATAACTGTCATGCAATCCACTAGTTATAGCCTCCCAATATACAAAATAGTATTCAAGTTGCCAGAAATAGGACAAAAGTTCCAGGAACCTAAAAATCAATAACTATTTAAACCAGTGGTAATTCATGTGGAAAACTTCAGAACAAATCAGCATCAGCTTCCTGGCTCTCTGCACAAACGAAAAATTCATATTGCTTCACCAATTTTCAAAAATGTAAACTTGTACACATAAACTTAAAACTCAGGCCAAAATTTACTCATATTTATTCTCAAAATCGGGCTGGTATCAAGATCAACTAACTTTCCCAACAAGTACAATCTTATAAAATTCCACAGTGAAATAGGTCTATGTTTAATCATTCAGAAAAAGAAAATTATGTAACAACTATATATAATGATGATGATAACATATGCTATGTGGACTTCTACTGAGAGTTGCAGTTCAGAGGGAAATTGTGAAAATGAAGCAAAAATTGGCCAAAATATTTAATTCTGCCCAAAACTAAAACAAAATTCTCATAAAAGAAGCCAAGTATAATATTTCATTATAAGTTCTAACAGGGTTCAAACGGATCAGAAATCCCGTATACTTACTTGGCTTTTCAGAAGCTGAATTCCAGAACCACTACAAACATAAACCGGGTCACTTGCCCAAGAGTCCTCACTTATTACCCCATCTCAGGTCCTCCAGGGAACACGTCTTACAACAGTCTCAAGGGTCCTGCAATAGCTGGGGTAGCTTGGGCTGGCTGTTTACAGGTGTCCGGCCCTCCTCGAGGATACACGAGGCAGTCGGGTGCGCAGATCCCAGCTGAGTCGGTCCACACGCCAGAGAAGCCCGCTCGCTGAGAGACTGCTCCGCGGCCACTCGGGCTACCTCGCCACTGGCGTGCAGCACACTTTAAGGAACGCACGCACCGGGTGACACCATTTCTTCATCCCTCACTAGCGTGTCCACACTTTAAGGAACGCACGCACGGGGTGACACCATTTCTGCATCACTGGCCGCGAGCTAGTTGACACGCGTTTTCTCCTCGAATAAACACATGCCTGTTGGCTGATGCCCGTCCTACTGTTGCAAACAAGAAATAACTGTCCTGCTAGACAAAAACCTCTCTCTAGGCCCGGGCGTCACCATACGTTTGAATTAAAAGCACACTGGACCAACAACAACAATCTCCCAGCACATCTGTCATTTGAAAGCACAACCGTGAAAAGCTATCGCTACGACCCAAATTTAGGTCAAAAGCTTTTTTTCTTCCTTCCCTTCAAAAGCAATAAACTTTGAAGGGAATGAGGGTAACAGGAATCGCTCCGCTGCTCCCCCCCAAAAGAAAAGACTGGAAAAAACTGGCCAACTCGGACGCTGGTCGTGCAGGCTGAGCAGACCCCCACGAACCCGGGCAAGCAGGGCAGATCCCCGGTAGGAAGAAGGCCAGGCAGGCAGGGCAGACCCCTGGGAGGAAAAGGGCCAGGCAGGCTGCGCAGACCCCCGGAGGAAGGCCGACAGACCCCCGGGAGGAAGAGGGCCGGGCAGACCCCCGGGAGGAAGGCCGG